TTTCGCTCTTCTTCAGAAACACTGACCGTTGAGCTGAAGAAAGAAAGAATACCTTGGCTAACTACTGTGGGGCGTGGAAGAGCAGACCAGCCACAAATCCTTTGGCCGGTGATGTGTAGAGATGTACGAGGAACCAGCACAAAAGGTGAAGATTTGTGTGTGTGTGTGAAGTCTGTAAAGATGGAAGCCAGTGAAACCCTAAACAAACAAAATTGTGTTTGATAAATATGGGTGTGAGCCACCTGTGGATCAGTTGAAAATTATGGGTTAGCTGGATGTGGACATGGTATTTTATGTTATTTTTACTTCATTCATACCCTGCCTTTCTCCCCAGTGGGGAACCCAAAGTGGCTTACCTCATGTGCCTCTCCTACATTTTTCCTCACAACAACCCTGTGAGGTAGGTTAGGCTGAGAGTGTGTGACTTGTCAAAGGTCACTTGCCAAGTTTCCATGGCAGAGCGGGGAATGAAACCTGTGTCACCCAGATGATAGTCCACCCACTATACCACACTGGCTCTCTATTGTTGCTAGCCAAAAGTGAAGCTGTATTCCTTATACTAGTTTGGACCTTTGGATGCTGGGATTAATTGAATAAGGCATTTCCCTCTCCCACCTCCTGAAGCTTCTGCCTGTTAGGAGAGCAGTGCCATTGGCCTAGCCCAGCGAGATAAATTTCTGGGAAAGAAACCATACATTGAACTCAGGCTTCTTGAGAACTGTCACCCTCTAATTCTGTTCTGTTTCCCCCAGTGAATGTGACTCTGGATCCATGGACAGCCAACCCCAGGCTCATCATCTCCCTGGATCGAAAGACAGTGAGGCACGGAAAACAGTTGCGGGCCCTGCCTGACAACCCAGAGAGATTCGACTCCGAGCCTTTTGTGTTGGGCTGTGAGGGATTCTCCTCAGGGAAACACTGCTGGGTTGTCAGCGTAGAGGCAGGGCAGAGCTGGGCAGTTGGCATTGCCAGGGAGTCGGTGAAGAGGAAAGGCTACATGAGCCTCAGCCCTGAGCAAGGCATCTGGGCCGTGGAGCAGTGCTGGGGTCAGTTCCAAGCACTGACCTCCCATTGGACTCCCCTGTCCCCGTGCAGGAAACCCAGGAGGATCCAGGTGTCTCTAGACTACGAGAGAGGTCAGGTGGCATTCTCTGATGCTGATCTAGATGTTCCAATCTTTGCTTTCCCTCCCGTCTCCTTCAGGCAAGAGAAAATCTACCCTTGGCTCTGGGCAGGGCCGGGATCTCAGCTTTGCTTGTGACTCAAAAGGCTGCTTCTGCGTGAACAATGTGGGGGTGTTCCTCTATTCTTCACCACCCTGATAGAGGAACACATTCCCCCCCTGCCAAAATATCTAGAGGCCTAATGTTTATGCAAACAACAGGACGACTGGCTACTCCAAACCAGACTTTTTGTGGAAGCAGCTCCCTGAGACAACACATTTATACTAAATAATTTGAACCAATTTCCTGTGACTCCTTCCTCCCTTTTCGTTTCTTCCTACTTTCAGTTATGCCCTGGAAATCTCAGAAAATGCACAGCAAGTTATTTGCTTCAACCGAATCAACTTCTGCCTGTACATAATTGCTTTTGAATTGCACAAAATAAAATTCTCTCAAAAAATAAAGAAATTAAGTGGATCAGCGTAGTGTAATAAAGTTGTCATTGGTTTACAGTGATTCCTGACTATGGCTATTAATTACCAGAGTGCTGAATAAAGCTCATGATCACAATATGACCGCCGCTATGGGATTCTGAATTTTATGTTATTTTCCAGAGTTGGTTTTCTAACCTTCTGAGGTAGAGTAAAAAATTGATTAAATAAATAAGCCCTGACACTTAGAAGGTAGAGTCTATAGAATGTCCAGTAGTCCAAACTTGGGTTCTTTATACATTGTTGCCTTGAATGCTTGCACATACGATCCAAGATTCCCATGTGATCCAAGGTTCCCAGCTTTCCTTAACATTAGTGACCATTTTAAAATAAAAATATCTTTAAGTCTTTGTGCTGATCAAAACTGAATCATGCAAATGGTTTAGACAGTATAGTTATCTTCATTTCTGTAACACCCATCAGTCTATATTTCATGGGGCTGCTACAGTGCATTCCATGTTTGCTCATCCTTCACCATAAAATGTTGCTCTTACCCTCAAATGTAGCCTAGGGGTCTTGTTTCCCCACTTCCAACTAGGGATGGGCACAAACTGCATTTTTTGTGGTTCAGTTCGTGATTCTTGGCTGAACCATGAACCGATAGGCCAGTTTGCAAACCAAACCAGTTCGTATTGGTTTGTGAGCCATTTAAACCCCTGCTTTCTGCTCCCCATGAAAAGCAGTGGGGAGCAGAAAGCAGGGGGTTAAATGGAGCCATTAAAATTTATTTAGCCTCCATGTGGTCCCAGTCTGCAGAGTTAGCTATCCACAGATGGGGGCCACACATGGCTAATAGTATATAAATATCTAGGTTAGAGAAATAGTCTCAAGGGTTCAAAATGGTATGAAACAGGGTTCCCCAACATTTTTGAGCATGCAAGCATCACTGTAATTCTGACATGGGAGCGGACACAAAATGGCTGCCACAGGAGATAGAGGCAGCCACAATTTTTAAAAATATGCATGGCCAAGCTAATCTCCAGTGGCCAGTGAGAAGTTCTGCTAGGCAAAAGCTGCATCGGGCTCTGCCCATCTTCTAAAAAAACCCATGGTAGGTACCAGGAAAGGTGTGGGTAGGTGCCATGGCACCCACAGGTACCACATTGGGGACCCCTGATACAAAACATTCAATAATGCCATCCGAGACTTAGGAACCCATGTAAAGAGTCAGTTACTCCAAGCATCCAAGCTACTCCACTCAAGAAAGCAAGAGGCCAACTAGGTGAAGCAAAAGTGATGGGAGAGATGGTTACAGCTACTCATCCATGCAGGTCCAAATGGTAATCCAAGTTCCAGGTTGTCCTGGAAACAATCTGGAAGGTAAGTGAAGTTTGGACACTATGATGTGTTGGCATGTGCTCCGCCACTCAGAAGACGGAAGCAGACCTGGGCAGGCAAAAGCTCTCTGGATAGAGCATACTTTGGTCAAGCACAGGTGCAAGAAAGGTAAGAAATCTAAGGGTATGTAATGTCGGTGGGAAGGTCTGGAGTGACAAACCAGTGTGATATGAAACCAGCAGGACAGCACAACAGCAAGAACTCTGCTTTGGGGAAAGACTGCCCTTGGTTATGGGACAGGTAGCCAGGTCCCAAACGGAATTATTTTTTTCTTTCCCAAGCTTGGAAAGAGGGAGGGGATTAATCGGTGCACTCTGATTGGACAAAGGGGGAGAAGGGAGTGGCTTTTGGGGGGGGGGCAGTAGGGAACCTTCCAGATGAAGTAAAAGGGAGGAAGTACCCAGATATGGGAGGGGCAGTCTCGGTTGGATTTAAAAGGGTAGGTTTGGAGGCAGTTCAGTTTTGATTATTTGTATTTTACTTCATTTATACCCCAAAGTGTTTTATTGTTCTCTCCTCCATTTTATCCTCCCAACAGTCTTTTGCTGCTTCCATCTGAGCACTTCCACAACAAAACAAGAGGCGGCAGCAGCAGCAAGCAACGAAGCAGTGGAGGAAAGCACTTGGCTGCAGGGGTCTTTAGCAGTCACGGATCTCCCCACTGATGAGATCGTCAAGTGCCCTCAGGCTTTTGTGAAAGAACACAAGTTTCTGCATTGTGTTTGGATCAGATTGGCCGGAGGCACTTTATTGAAAATAACAAGCAACTACAAGGAGAGCTCAGTAAAGATCACACATTTATAGCATCTTTTGGTTACACAGAGCAGTAGCTTCCAGATCAAACAAAAGTACAGGTTGAGCAAAAAAAAAATTAGAAATACTCAGCATCAGCATTCTTGAAAGTTTAGCACAGGGGTGTCAAACATAAGGCCCGGGGCCCAGAACCGGCCCATCCAGGGCTCTTATGCAGCCCGCAAGCAACTGATGCAAGCGAGGGAATGCTGGGAGGAGTGGGCAGAGCCACTCCATTGTGGCTTCAGCACAGCAGAACAACCTTGTCTGCAGCAGTCAGGCATCCTGGGAGCATCTGCCCAGTGGTGCACTGCGGCCTGTCCACTCCACCTCCGCACCCCCCTCCCAGCCCATGGGGCCTTGCAGTGAGGATACACCAACTCAGAACTCACCATCTGCTGTCGTTTATCCAGTTTCTATCTCCGGGACCCAGCATTACATTTTATGGTCCACATGGCCCGGCCTGACAAAGTGACATTTATGTCAGGTCTGGCCCTCGTAACAAATGAGTTTGACACCTCTGGTTTAGCAGTTACAATTCTCGGAACAGTCAAGACCATTCTCCCTCCTTTCTTTCTAGGGTTGCCAGCCTCCAGATGGTACCTAGAGATTTCCTGCTATTATAATGGATCCCCAGATGACTGAGATCAGTTCTCCTGGGGAAAATGGCTGCTTTGGAGGGTGGACTCTATGGCATGATAACCTGCTGAAGTCCCTCCCCCCAAAACCCCGCCCTCCTCAGGCTCCACCTCCCAAATCTCTAGCTGTTTCCCAACCCAGAGCTGGCAACCCTATTTCTTACCCTTTCCCACCTCCTTCTACACATAGACTTTTCTGAAACAAAGTATGAGGCCTACTTTCCTGTGTTTCCACAAACACCCCCTTTGGCACCACCTTGCCTCAAACTTCTATGCGCGTTAAGGTTTTCACTTCCCTTTTCCGCATTTCTTCACAGGCTTTCATTTCTGTGTATAGATTGTACACTTCTTTAGTTTGTTCCGGGCTCAGCTCTCTTCTATGTGTTTCTTCAGCAGTATAGCTTAGACAGCATTTTCGCAAGGTAATAAGCCACATATGCGAATACAAATAATCCAACAAGTCCGACAAACACAATTAGCAATATGCAAAAGGGTTTAGATCCCTACCCAAGACTACACACTGTACTGGTCTGCCTCTACACTTTTACTGGCTAATATATAATATAGGGCCATTTTGCTCCCTTAAAGTCATTTGTCATATCTCATTTCATTGTTTATTTGGCTGAGGCCCTTTACAGTAGCATTGGCTACCTCTTCTAATGAGGCAGCAATTTTCTGTGTTTCATTAAATTCTCAGACAGTTCCATAGTTTAGGAACATAACCCCCTAAATTCTTTTAGTCTCGGAAATTCCTCTGTAATTCCAAATTCTGATAGCAATTGCAGGATATGCTGCAGATACATAACAAGTTCCCATTGAATTAAAGGGAAGGTGTATGTGTTTGCCTTGTTTCCATACACACAGTGGCCAGCTAGTACAGTGAAGCCTGAATCTCACAGAGGGTTCATCATCCGCTAAGCATAATAGCCTGTGATTCCTTCTGCCTTAAGGGTGTGATTGTTCACCCATGTACTGTTTTGTAGGTTAGCTCTGTTTATTATAAATTGAACATCATATACACTTGTCTCCAATGTCATTGGAACTGTTACAGGCAGTTGGGCAATAGGGGCTAACCACACACAACTGCAACAATTGCAATTTGTGTTTTGCAAAGTTTCGTTTCCCTTATAATCTGAATAATAAGGGGCCTGCCCATGAGTATTCTTTAAAGACACTGGTATCATGGGTACTCCTCCAGAAGAATGAATAGGTCCATGACCACAAATCCAACAGCTGGAAACATTTAAGTCTCCTTTTATGTATTAATAAGAAGAAGGAGTTAACCTGCTCCAGCCACAAGTCCTAAAAGTCTGGTCAAGCAAATGACAGGATTTTCATGTCTGATGATACGGTAGGTAAGGATTGCCTTCTTGCATTGGGGCAAATCCTCTTCACTCTGGCAAGGGCTATGAGTTCCACTACTTGTGCAGAATGAACAGAGGGTAAAGAATGGCTTTCTATTACTTCATGTGGAGAACAGGCTGCATACCATGTGACTAAAATGCCTTTGGAAACCCGGTGACATGAGCCATCTACATAGAGATTAAGATCACGGTTCTGGAGTGGAGTGTCCTTAAGATGAAGAGGTGGCATAGTAAGATGGGCAGAGACAGCAAAATGATCACGAGGTTCTCCATCCAAAGGAGTTGGGAGCAAAGAAACGGGATTTAGAATGGGACACAAGGTGTTATTTATTTATCACAAAGGAAAAGAAAATAGAAAAAAAGAACTAGGGATAAAAATTCAAAATCCACCAACTAAATTAAAAAAGAGAAAAAGAAACGTATATAGAGACAAAACCATAACAACATGGTAGAAGTTCTACATATTCCATAAATGGGATAAAAATTCAAAATCCAGCAACTAAATTAAAAAAGAGAAAAAGAAACATATATAGAGACAAAAACATAACAGTGGTAGAAGTTCTACATATTCTATAAAAGGTTTCCAATAATAAAAAGAACAGGACACCGGTAAGAATAATGTGGTCAGCGGAGAGAAGCAAACTTTCATACTTCAACAAATCTGGCATTTGAAAGGTGTTGGGTTTTAGTTTTAAATAGGAGAGAAGCTTGTGGTACAGCCACCATTAAGGGTGAGTCTAAAACAAGAGTAGAAGAGGCTTCAACTAAAGTAGCAGCAGCTACTGAATGAAGACTAGATTCAGGTAGGT